AATCAAGACTTCTTTTCTTTTTAGGGCCAAACAATGTTCCTTTCCATGGATATACCACATTTCATTTCTCCATACATCAACTGTTTCCACCTGTAGTGCAGAAACTGCTGAAAATGTCTATGGACGTTAGTGTGAACACGTTTGTGTTTGTCTGGGTGTACACAGAAGAGAGGACCTGGCCCATCACAAGATGACCGCACTGCTTTTTTTTTTGTTCTGGGGATCAAATTCAGGACCTTGCACTTTCGAGGCAGGTGACAGAACCACTGAGCTAAATCCCCAGCCACCCCCCCCCCAACTACACACTGCTTTTTTTGTTTGGTTTTGCTTTGGTTTTTTGGATCAGTTTGGTTTGTGATAGTGGGGATGGAACCAAGGCCTTTGCAGCGAGCTACATCCCCAGCCGTTTTTGGAAAATGTTGTTTTTCATTTTGAGGCAAGGTTAAGTACCTAAATTGCCCAGGCTGGGGTCAAACTTATGATCCTCCTGCCTCACCCTCCCAAAGCGCTGGAATGCAGGTGTGTACCTCCACTCCCAGCTTTCAGTATTTTTTTTTTCTGTACCACAAATGAAACTCAGGACTTTGTGCTTGCCAGGCAGGTGAGGCACCACTGAGCTACATGCCCAAGATAGTGAAAATATTTTTCTTTACTTTTTTTTTTTTTGGTACCACAAATCAAACTCAGGACCTTATGCTTGCCAGGCAGGTGTGGCACCGTCAAGGTACATCCTCATCCCTTCAGTAAATTTTAAATGAAACTGGGAATTATGAGTCATCTAAATTTGTTTTTTGTGGTACTGGAGATTAAAGCCAGGGCCTTCTGCAGCCTAGGCAAGCGCTCTATCACTGAGGTATAATCAAGCTATGTATTTAATTTTTTGTGTCTCCCTAATTTGTCCATACTGGCCCTGAACTTTTTTTTTTTTCGTACCAGGGATCGAACTTGGGTCCTAGCGCTTGCACAGCAGGCAGCGAAACCACTGAGCTAAATCCCAGGCCCCAGAACTTTTCTTTTTTAGACAGGGTCTCACTATGTAGTTCGGGCTGGCCTTGAATTCATGGAAATCCTCCTGCCTCAGCCTCCTGAGTGCTGGAACTACAGACATATGCTACCACGCCCAGCCAGGCCCTGAACTTTTGATCCTCCCGGAGTAGCTGGGATTACACACCTGCCCAGCTCCCAAATTAGATCTTTCTCAAGAGTCTTTTGAGTACTCAGGGCACTTGCATTTCCATACAAACTTTTGGATAAACCTGACTGCAGAGAAGCCAGCTGGGACTTGCTAGAGACTGAAGTGATTCACAGGGAGTTGCCACTGATCACAGGATGTTGTCACCTGTCACCTTGTCCCAACTAGAGCCCCTGGATATTTCATTAAACACTCCTCATGGCATTGCTACAATCAGAGGACTTCAAGTGAAAGGCCTCATCCACTGGGTTGAGAGCAAAAAGCAAGGTTTCTCAGCAAAGGAGAGATTCTGCCTCAGGACTGAAATTGCCAAATCCAAAAACTGTGTGAACCAAGTCCTTAAAATCAATGTGCGTGCATGCATGCATGCATGTGTGGGTCCTGTCACTCAGGTTTCTCTGGAGAACCATGCAGATATCTGTATTTATTTAGATTGTTGTCTTGGTCTGTTTTCTGATGCCCCAACAAGACAGACTGTTGGAACCTGGGTCATTTATAAACAGAATAAGCAAATTTAGCTCATGGCTCTGGAGAGTGAGGTAGGACCAGGAGGCATCACATGGAAACATGGAGCAAGATGGAAGGGGGGATGGTTGCCGCAGACCAGCTGCAGTCGATGCAGGGTAAGAAGGGGAGAGGTCTCGGGCCGGCGAGTGAGAAAAGAACCTTCGCAAGCAATGTGCAGGTTCCCTCTGAGAAGTCTCAGGGTCTGATTTATTTTTATATC